TGCTGCATGTTTGTTTTTTTCTCTGCACAGATTTCAAATGGGGGTCCATATGTGAGACACATGACACCACTGAAAGCTTCACATGCAAAGATTACACTGTTAGTATGAACTCCTGAGCACTAAGCTAATGCCTTATAGCTACCATCAAACACTATCAGGCTTAAACTAAAGATGCATTCAGATCAACTGGGAAATGGAAAGATATGTTAATGTATAAATGTTAAGAAAGAGGAAATAGGCCACTTTTTTAGGATGAGACATTTAGGCAAATACGCTCGATACATTTCCCCCTCGGAGTTGAGAAGATGCATTCCTTCCTATAGGACTGTCCACTACATATGAGCATAAGCTAACAAGTGCTAAACTTAAATGTGATAGACACTTGTCCACATGACTCTAGAAAAGTCCCTTTCTTCAGTTAGTCCAGTGCACGTCTTCCAATAAAATCCCACGTTGATGTTTTAAGTCAGAAGATTTGCACTTGTAAAAATCAAAGGCTTGTACTGTGTCTGCATGTTTTTGTTTTTTTTGTTTTTTTTACTACTAAATGTTGGGAGTAGAGAGAGGGGGGGGTGACATGGACACGGCCACTCCGACGAGGCCTATAGCTTCTGTCCATGGGGTGCGCGACATAATCGCTAGGCTATCCGGGCTCCTTGATTTTCCACTTTCTTTTTACTTTGAGTTTTTATCCTATTCTATTTAAGCTCCACTCAGGCTGTGGAACAGATTTTCTATATACCTGTAAAATATCAATAAACATTCTGGTGTAGAGATCTACGTCTAAATCCTAAGTAAAACACATTATGGCCTTAAAGGTATGAGATACTAAGCTTAAGCCTCTCCTATGCTCATACACTTACATAAAATGATGTGACATCTACACCACTTGCCTGTTGAGGCAGTTTGCCCTACAGTAGCATAAGAGCATTTCTTTTAGCCTGCGTGTGTGAACCATGGAGGACTCACTCTAGTGTCCCTGTTAGTTAAATGCGGCATTCATTAAACAACACAGGACCCTCCTGCTTTCCTCCTTCCATGCTACCCACACAGTGCCATCTGTCTTGAATCTATTGCCCTTTCTTCCTCTTTCCATTTCTCTCTCTGTCTCTGTTTGTGTGTGTGACAGTAGTCATGTCAGAGTAAGGCTGGCTGAAGCACTTGCAGCAGTCTGCCTCTTTGATGTTGAGCCCTGTTGAATTAGGCCATCACCCAGCGGTGCTCTGCTGCCTGCCTGCCTGCCTGCACACACAGTACACTTGCGAGGACACAAATACAAAGAATAACAAATGCTGGTTGCAAGGCATGCACATAAAAAGTAGTATTCATGCTGCTCACACAGAAGTGGCTGATACACACATATAAATCATGCAGGTCACATAACACCTTTAATCATTTGCCCTAAAACATGTCCACGCAGTTCTTATTCCCTCCCCCACTGCTTCATAACATCCATATACTGTAAGTCCTCATTTCCTTCTCCGCTCCTCTTTAATAAACATAAATTTGAATTCTTATTCAGTGCTTCTCCTCCGAGGCCTTTATACTATGGTACTTCAAAGCACATGCTCACACTCATGAACACACGCAGGGAAAATGTAGGACATTCGGCAAGAATTTATTCAAGAATACAGAAGACGGGGAGGAATTCATTCCCTTTCAATCTGCTCTCTCTCTCTCTCTCTCTCTCTCTCTCTCTCTCTCTGACAATATGGTGGAATGAATGGTGCCAAAGTGACTAAGGCAGGCGGGAAGCCTCCTGAATTACACATAGAGAAAAAGCTGGTGACCTGACATTTCATAAAATGAACATGATGTCTTTAAATGGTAAACTCTGTTTAGGGAGACATATTAAAGAAAACATGAAATAAAAAGGAACATTCATGAATCCAGTTTTCAAATCTTTTACGGGCTGTTTGAAGCCTGAGTCTGTGTTCGAAACAATGAGTTTAAACAAAATTGAAACCTGTCAAACATAAAAGCTTCTTAATGTAGTGATGGATTAAATATTCCAGAGTAATGTGGAGCTGTAGTTCGGAGGGACCAACCTACAGTGAAGCTTCATTTAGCTTTCCGTCATATTTTTTGAGGCCAAGGTTTTTCCAGCTAGCTAACTCATTAAAGCTGAACACTGTTGGAGAGTTTTAAGACAATATTAGTTGAAATAGAGCTCATGTTGACCGCCCCATTTTTTCAGCCGCTCTGGTTCCAGGAGTAAATCTCTCCTTTCAAATCCTCCTTCCTTATTTCAAGAGATTACAGCTTGGAACCAAGGCAGCCTGCTATAAATGCATGTCAGTGAGTTTTGCGTTTAAAGTTCTACATATAGCGACATAATCACACAAGTGTAGCAACTTTTTCTGGACTCTTAGACACTCCATTATCATGACTGCAGAAATAACCGGTCACTATTGGTCATGTTCTTGCAACAAGACTGAAAAACCAAAAACAGACCTTGTTCCATCCCATGCTTCAGTAGCATGACTGTTCTAAAGAACAATGTAGCCAGAGCTGCATGTATGAGATTTTTAATCAAAGAGAAAAATACAACAAATGGTATGCACATTACTACAGTATTTTCTCTCTCTCTCTCTCTCTCTCTCTCTCTCTCTCTGTCTCTCTCTCTCTTGGCTCTCTGGTGGCCAGGAACAGCCCTGTGGTCAAACTGGAGACCAGCCAGGGATCTTTCCATCAATTAGCTGATTTTTTTCCCCCCGCTGTCCATCTCTGCCTTCAACTATCACTCTCTCTATCTTTTTGTTTTTCACTCCATCTCTCTCTGTGTCTGCCTCATTATTTCCACTGTTGGTGGCCTACTCCAAGAACATCGCATTCGAATGTAGGACACTTAAAGAGCAAAAGCGAATTCTTCCACTGTTAAGTAACCGCTCAAAAGATCCTTAAAACCTAGCGGCAGTTTTGGATGTTTTTTGTTCTCTGTGTGTATCTTGAAAACTAAGTTGTGGAGATCTTGACGAAGGATTTTCATGAGGAGAGCAGGAGGTACCAGCTGTTCACATGAGACAACAGCAACTTCCTATTTTACACACGCGCAGAAACACAGGCATAAAATTACAACACACAGTTGTGCTTCTCCACGCTCCACGTCGCACACAGCGTGACATCGCTGCATATCAATTACACGGGGAAGTGAAGTTCTATTTTCTAATTCAATCGCTCAGCGCTGGTGTCACATCTCTCGCTCTCCAGCCTTCTCCCTGCCTTCTCGTGCTCTTTTCAGCCACGCTCTCCCGTTTCCCCCCTCGATTCATTCCCACTGATGCGTCTCAGTCATCACAGGGCTGGTGGTGGTGGGTGGCGGGGTTACTGCTCTTGTTTATGCATGCATGTATGTGTGTGTGTGTGTGGAGACAGACAAAGTGTGTGTATTTCTAACCCTGTTTGAAATTCTTCAACAAACATTAGGATGCTTCTTTCTTTAAAGTGCTTTAAAAAAAAATCCAAATTGCGTCCTTAACCATGAAACTCTCAAACACTGGCAATTACTCTAAAAGAAGCTTCCATGCCTCAACATACCAACGACCATAAAAACATGAGGGCAATTTTCCTCTGATCTCGAGCTTCAGGTGGTAAGCTTCCATGCTATGATGATAAAAAAATACTGTCACTGGGTTGGGAGTAATACAAATGTAATGTGTCCGACATATTATTATATTTTGGCCTCATTATTATGTTTTTCATTGTTTAATCAGTTGATTATCAATAAACAGTGAAAAGTGAAAATCAGGATGGAAATCTCGCCATGTTTCAAGTAAAACTACATATTTAAAAATCTAAAGCTATGAGGAGAAAACAGCTACTAGCTCATACCACAGCTATCTAAGAATAACTTGAAACTAATATACGTGTTTGTAGTGGAACAGGATACAAAAGGAAATGCTTTAATTCCCAGCTCAGGTAATGGGAGCTTCCAATTGACTATATTGACTACTGCAATTTAGATCAATGTCCCTCCAGACTCTCAGTATCATTTGTCTCTATAGTTAGAACTTGGGAATTGTCAGATTTCCTACATTTATATTTACAAATGCCAATATGCCTTCCAATCCTAAATAATTAAGTCGATGGAAAATGGCCGCGCTGCAGGTATATAACTTCAGAGGACAGTTAGTCCTGCGTTTGTTTATTTTATTACCTACAAAATAACCAAACAGCAGACAGAATAAGTTTGATGAATATCTCTTCTTGTTTCTCCAAATGACTATTTTAGTATTTTCTAAGGATACTTAAATACTGGGCGGCTGTGAGTCAGTGGCAGAGCTGGTTGGGGGTTCGATCCCCAGCTCCTGATCCACAGGTCCCATTTGTCTTTGGAGAAGACACTTAACCCCAAGTTGCTCCCACTGTTTTGTCAGCGGTGTATGAATGGATCGATTACTTCTGATGGTAACTTTATATAGCAGCCTCTGGCATCAGGGTGTGAATGTGTAGGTGTGACCTGCGGTGTAAAAGTGCTTTGAGTAGTCACACGACTAGAAAAGCACTATATAAGCTCAAGTCCATTTACCGTTTCAAACTGCCTCTGTATGTTTATATCATAGATTTACGTATGTGTTTGCAATTTTGCTTGATGCCTTCAAGGCTTAGATTAATTAATTTTCTTCTGGCCCAAGCAAACTGCACATCTGAAAGGTTTCATGAATACATTACTCATAAGCAGAATCAGTCATTTCATCACTTCTCCCAGAAGAAGCTGAACTAGCATGTTACATCACATTCTGGATAGACTGTACTGTAAAACCAAACGTGTTCAAATAATAATATATGTGTTGGATAAGTTCTTAAATAAAACCATGACGCATCACATTTCTGGATTTAATCATGTGATATTTATAATTTTCTCATAACACGCCTTGAGAGAAAAAAATACTGCTTTGGATTTTCTTTTTCAGGCATTTAATAAATGTACTCCATGTTCCCTGTTCTCCATGTTTAAATCACTCTATTTCTGTCTGTCTGTCTCTCTCTCTCGCTTGTAGATCATAACCATTTGAACAATGCAGCCTTGTCTCCCCTGGGTCCTGCTATGGCCTTGTCTCACCCTCATAACAACCTGGGAATTGGCTTCAACAAGTACACCTCGCTCAAGGCAGTGGGTGAGTATGACTACACACAAACACACATCCAAACACGCAGCCAAATATTAGAAACACAAGCCTTTACAAACACGGCACGTAATCGTGTTTGAGCAGTTAAGAATAGATATAAAACAGTGACGTGACGTTACAAGGCAGATAAAGAATGCAGGGCTAACTGTGCAGTTAAGTGAGGCTAAATACGGTACAGTGTAAACAAACCTGAACCAGGATGATGATGATGATGATGATGATGGATTCTACATGTCGCTCACACTGAGTGGTAAATGGGTTAAAGGAGAGCAAGCACCATTAGACTAATGAATTTGTTATGAGTCTGACTCTCATCCAATCTTGCTGATTCATGAATCATGCTTGAATGCAGTGGCGGATTTACTTTGATTTTCATTTTCATATTATATAAGATCAAGGCAGCCATTATGAAGACGATATGACAACTTTTAAGCATCCGACAGCCCAGATATGTTTCTTCCACTGGTGTGAATACAGTATGTTACTGGGATCCAGTTCTTTAAAATATCACTGACGTTCTATGTGTCAAAGAATTTGCAAAAGGTTCTTCTTTACCACCACGATGCATCACACACACATGACTGGTCAGTACAAGGACAAACAGTGAGAAGGCATTAATGTCTTGAACAAGAGAGAGAAAAAATCGCCAAAACTCCCCCTGCAGAAATGAAATTAAGTACAAGACTTTTAATTCACATGTCGGGCCTAAACTTGACCTGGTCTGTTAATTTAATGGATTGGGGGACTTCACTTCACTTCACCCATCAGGTGGCAAACTAAAGTAAAAGTAAGAGCATAATGAGTCCAAATACTTGAGCCATGATACACCAGATCTCAAAACAGAGGTTTTTAGCAGCGGGCAGCAAGACACCTTCATAAAAGCCCCAAAAAGAGAACATCATGCTAGAAGTGCGTATATCCCTCCAGTTCTTTGACTTGTGTAATTTATGCCAAAACACATTGACGCTGCTCTGATCCATCCTCTTCAAGCTTCACAGTTCATGGCAAATGTTGTTGTTTCCAACTGATGGAGTGCTCATTCTCTAAACCAACACTCGAATATTCCAACAGCGATGTGAAACCATGAGCACGTTGGTCTTAAAAAGAGGTGTGGTCATGCACATTGTTGGCATATTGCTATATTGCGATCTTGCCCCCCTCTTAGACAACAGAAAGCATTTTATCCACTGACCAACAAAGAAGTTGTGCTGTCTTGCTATTAAAAAAGCCAATTTTTCAGTTACTGTAATATACTCCAGAAACAATGCAAATAAACTCAACGTTTTAAACACAGATGCACGCACAGCTGCACTCCTAATTATTTGTGTTAAAAAGGCACAAATTGTAGCTTTTAGCAAATGGACCAGATGCAGGCACACCTGGCTTTTAAACCGAACAAGAGAAAACATCCTGATTAATTTTTATCACGTAAAGCCAAATATCATCCCTGTTAATTGGTAAAGAAACTTAAAACAAGCCCAGTACACATTACCAGTAATTGTGCATCCAAATGATGTGCAGTTTAAAAAGCAAAGGGGGCCTGAACACTTGAACACACTATTTGTCGTTGTTGTGGGTGGGTTGATCATCTGCTAAAGCTCAGCAACTATCATGCTGACGGTTAATGCAGCACCTCTTTTTATTCATCGTACTTGAGAATGAGTTATGGAAATAAAGTTTGATGATGGCATAATTATCCAGCAGAAGATGACATAACTCATAATGGAGTGCAAATACAACTGTTCTAAATTGAAAAACACACACACACACACACACACACACACACACACACACACACTCATTAGAAAAGCCTCAGTGGGTGGTAGAGGACTGTTTAGGTCCCAATTTTTCCATTTAGCCCCGCTATCTTTCTCTCTAATGCCACTGTACGATTGTGACGATCAATCGTGGCAATATCTGTGGTAGTGGCTCCAAAACAATGGTCTTTATCAGAAACAAAGACAACCGATCTCAAGGTCTTGCGACCAAACATAGCCTGCAGCAAATGTCTGAAAGTGTCAGAAATTTAGGGTGATCATCTCACATTTTGAATGCCTCTCCGATCTACCTCAACTGCCAACCAATAGAAACGCAGTATGAAAAGACGCACTAATGCGCTCGACCATCCAGAATCAAGAGCTGTCGATAGCGTACGATAACAATAACATAACGTATCTCAAGCACTCTCTGCGACACTGTCCTGCTTTCTCTCCATGCACATGAAGCACATGAAGCCCACTATGGCAAAGAGCTCACTTTGTGTTGACCGACATAGCAACCTCAGCTAGATCCGGTTGACCCACAAAGATGATGCTAATGACACCGCCTGTTCACTTGCCTCACAGTCTATTCACTAGATACCTCATGGCACTGTGTACATGCATGTCGTATCCGGCATTATGAGATCCATTTCGCCCCGGGGTGGCTTGCAATAAACTTATATGATTACAAAAATTGCGATTTGTAGGAGGCATAAGACACAAAGACACTCACAGCAAAAGCAAACACACGTTAACATTGCCACACAGACATGTTACAGTACATCTTTCTACCTGTAGGCACACTGAAGGGGGATAAGGGCATTCAAATGTACAGAGACACACAATACCATCTATCATCTGATCAATGCAGACAGACAAGGACACAGTGACGATGATGATGGTCGACAGGTTGACACATGAGCATGTACTGTTTTTGTGACACAATATGCACAGAACGAGGAGAGAGCCCCATCACAGCGATCAGACAGCGAACACAAAGTAAATACGTCCTCAAAGACATTCAGGAAAAAGTCGTGAAGCCCCATCCCCCACAGAACTACACATGTTCTGTTTGGCCAGTTTCTGTTCCCAATTGCCAAATTATGTTTACATTCATGACTGCTGCAGCTTTACCACTCAAAGTTCTTACTCGTTTACACATTTTTTTGGATTAAGTTCATGAATAATCGTTGCATGATTGTATTCTATTTCCTGTTTTCCAATCATTAAGACAGAAACATAAATGAACACACAATCCAGTCACCCATGTGTATCTGCTCTCCTGCATGGGCAAAATAAAAAATAAAAATAAAATAACCGTCAAGTCCAGAGATCCTCTCTGTGTGGACAAAGTCATGGCTAGGACACACAGCACTTTGGAGAGGAGAGCTGAACATGTGCACAGTGGAACAGCATGAGTCAAGCTGCTTTATCTTTGTTAGAATTATATAACGAAAGCAATGTGCTTTGTTTTAGATAATACAATGCAAGATATAAAAGCTAAAATGACGAAAATAAAGTGTTTGGTACAAATAGAGTGGAAAGGATTAAAATAGGGACGAGCACAACAGGTCAGAAAGGTCAGGACTGTGTGAGAGCAGACCTATGCCAGGTGTAGCAGCAGGGGTTTGGCACAAGCATCTCTGACATATCTGTCTTAATTAAGTGAAGACGGGTGGACTGGCAGTGAGATGCTTCAGGTTAGAGGGTGAAAAAAGTGAGAGGACACAGAGAGAAAGAAAAACCTGAATATTCAAGAAGTGGCTTCATTTAAATGGTAAAAATGAAGATGTTGGTCTGTGTTCATTTTTTGAACCAAACGCTGCAGATGTGTTCATTGAAGAAACAGAAATACTAACAAAGGCATTGATGTGTAACCAACAGAGCTTCATCCAGATTAGTTTACAGTCAGTGCCAAGTCCCCAGAAAGGAGGAAAGACAACATAAGACAGGAATATTCTCGAAGATGACATGACTGATTCAAAGACTCCAAGTTCTGTGCACAGACCAGCTGTGGTGTTTAATTAACGTCTACGGATCCAACTGTTGAAAAAAGCGAATGTTTCAATTGGTACCGCCGTTGGCCTGTTGAAAACAGCCAGAAAAGTTGACTTGTACTTAATGCCTCTGATTCAGGAAATAGCCAACCATAGATTTAGATTTTGGGGTGGCACCTGGGGTGACCAATCAGAATTCAAGGCGGGGAGGAATGCCACCCTGCCTTGGTCTTGGTCTTGACTCTGTCTCGATCCCTAAATGTCTTGGTCTTGTCTCAGTCTTGGAGCACACTGGTCTCGGGTATGTCTTGGTCTCGGTTAGTGTGGTCTACTACACTACTGTAACCCTTTGAGGGCCAAACTTATGTGGTTATTATACGTTGGCTTCGACTGGACCCACAGGCCTGGCTTCAGGCTGCTGCTGGATCGAGAGCACTAGATGATGCTTAGTAATAAATGAAATAAAGGAGAAAAGAAATGAGGGAGAGAGAAAGAGAGAGAGAATGAGCAGATGGAGAGTTTGTGTTTTGGAGAGGACGGCACACAATGCGCTCACCAAGGAGCTCGCTCTCAGGTGCTCCTGCTGGCAACATGTGCGGAAACACTCAAATGGACGGCAACAGCAGTTGTTAAGGGAAGGAGGGCTGTGTTAAATTCATTGTATCAAAGCCGTCCCAGATTTTCCTGCCCTGGAAAGAGATGCGAGCCAAATGTTCTGCTGCTGTAGCTCCAAATGCAGAACCTAACTCCTAAACAGAAGGATACAGTGTCCACAACATGTAATTAAGAAGGTCCAACCAAAAGTTTTTAAACAAAATAATAATACAACTGAAAGGAAATATTAGAAAACAGACATGTGTTAAAGCTTCTCCAGCTCTTATTAATCTCACAGTGCATCTGTACACAAACATAGACTCCTTCCTATATGTGATGCAGCATTATTATGAAAAACAGGCAACTATATAAGCTGCCATAGCCATGTGATACTGCACATTCAACTGCACAGACACAGACACATCAAGCGGCTTATTCCCTTTTCAAAGAGCACAGAATGCATGTAAATGCGCTCATTGTTGCATGATGCCTTGGCACATGTACAGCCGCACACATGTGCCAGAATATGTACGTAAAATCCACAGACGTTCATATGTGCAATCACTCAAATATACACGCTAATCCTCCACGCGTTCCTTCCTATTATTGCAAAATGTCAATGAAAGCAAAACAGTTTCTTTTCAATCTCCTCATTTGAAGTCATCAGTTTTGCATAACATTGCTGAAAATAAAGAAAAATAATACATTCCTCCGAAATGTGTTATTTGATATTTATCAGGTGTATTCTCTGCTGGAAGACTAAAAACACCCAAAAGTAATGCCAGTCTGTACTGTCGGACTATAGAGTAGAAATATGAAGCCTGCTTTGTCATGTTTCAAGAAAAACCTCCAGTTGTTTTTGCAGTTTACCTTAAACGGTAATAGTTGTAGCAGGATTGTGTTTAATCCCTGCACTGGTTTAGAGAATTGACCTGAGGGAGTGAATGATTACCGGCCACTCTGTTTCTCTCCTCGAGAGCTGCTGTTGAAGTGCCTGGAGTTACACAATGGACCCCACATTTGAAGTGTTCAATAAGCAATTACCAGGCTGTAATAGTGCTTAGAGACTTCCCTGAAATGTGTGAAAATGAAAACCACTCCGAGGCATTCTGAAATGACAAATATAGGACACTGGTTTCAGTCATTTCAGCTGGTATAAAATATTATAAATGACTCAACAAGGAAACAGGCAAAAGGGAAACCGAACCTCTGCTAAAGAAAATTAATTTGTTTACAACCAGCCAACGGAGGACTTCTGTTTGCAGTCTTTATCTTAATATTGTCCAAACACTCTGCCTGCAAACGGATGAATCATAGATGCTGCACAAGAAATTCAAATCATCCACACAAAGCTCTTTTTTTCCTGAGAGTGCTGTTAAAGAGCTCAAGTAGGTGAAAAACCCGAATATGCTTCTAAAAAGTCTATGGTATAGAGTGGTATGATCATACCATATTGAACAGTATCTAATGTATTAAAAAGAGGAGTGTCAGCATCAATCCGGATTAATTAGAGTCTGAAATGAATGCATTCATTTTTGTCAACCGGATTAACCTGCATGCTGTTTTGTCCTTTTAGGCACAGCGTTGATAAAATGTGGCATCTTTGAATGTCTTATTTCACTTTTAAAGAACTCAAAGTTAGCTCAGGTGATAAGTAATAAGGAATATCCAGCTCATTGAATCAAACATTTCACTCTTTTACCGTCCTCTCGTTTGGTTTTTGCAGCAAATAAAGTAATCTCAGTTTAAGACAGGCTTTTATTCTCACAATTTCTACTTTAAATGTGAAATGATGTCATTTCAAACATGCCATTCATCGTGATTATTTATTGAAATTTTGGGATTGATTGTGATTACATTTTTTGATCATTTGACAACCCTGATTCAAACCAATATCAACCAGCCCCATTCATAAACGTTCATTACAACTAATGAAGCTCCACTGGTCATACATCTTCTGACCAGGCTTTACACATTGTCTTAAGAGTGTTTTTTTCCTGGTGGGAGTGTGTGATGAGATCAGTCACACAGGAACATAAGCAAACACATACAAGCGTACTTTGTCATAAACAAGCAGTACAAGCTCGTAGAGCATGCTCCCTTTATTATGGAAACCGGTGTTAAAATCAAAAAAAAAAAGGTAGCACGTCTTATGATTCAGTGTGATAAGGGTTCAAAATGAAGGGAAAAAACATCAGACAGAAGACTCCTTTTTCTCTTCAGGAAAAAAGATATTAAAAAGGCTATACAAACAAGGTTGTTAGTGTCTTTAGGGAAGAGTCATATAGAGGGTGGGGGGTGATGACCGAATAACAGAGTCGACTTCCACTCAGGGGTCCTGTGCTGATTTGACTTGACATTCTAAACTCTATGTTAACTCTCTACAAATCTCCGGTTTTACTGCAACAATATCCCTTATCTACCTTCTCTCACCGTATTTTATTTCTCTCGATTTCTGTTGGTGTTTTTAATCCAAGGTCATTGATTGTAGACTGCTAAAGCTTTTTTATTACTAAATGGAGTAAAAACCAAACATTCAAATCTTTGTGGATGAACACAGCGTCCAGGGATGTGCACATTTATCAACTAAATAGTTCAACGTCAAATATTTGCATTCGTCACAGGATTGATGGCACAATTTTTTCTTCCCTGATATTCATTTTAACACCTAGAAACGAGAATTTGACCCCTTAGATACTGGTGCTAAACATAAATACTAACATCTCTGGTGGGAACACAGTGATTGTTGACATGTTCTGAATAACATTCAAGAGTTATCTTTGGTTTGTCATTGCCACATTGATTTCTTAAGGGGCCAGTTGGTTACAGTATTGGTACCATTGCGCTATACATTTTAGACCAAAACTGATACTGGTATTGGAATCGAAAAAAACTCTTTCACAAACTGTCTTAAGGGCTCATCAATGTCAATTAACCATGTCTCTTCCTTTATTTCCCTTCCCCCACTGTCTCTCCACCTATCCAGACACGACTCCAAGAGACTTCTACAAGAGCTATCCAATGGTAGACTACACCCACCGCCAGTCACCACCCACTTTCCAGCCAATCAACTTCCACCCAAAGGACAAGCCCTTCCTCCCGCCACCCGACATCCATGCGCCACTGGCCATCACCATTAACGCGTCCCAGATCCCCAAACCTAAGATCTCCAAAACCAACACCCATCCCCTCACATCCAGTTCAGCCTTCAAGGCGTGGGACCCCAGCAAGAGCCACATCCAGCACCCTGCAGCCACCCACATGGGCCTCCAGGCACAGCCGCAGCACCATCCCATCCAGCAGCACCAGCAGCACCAGCAGCATCAGCAGCATCAGCAGCATCAGCAGCATCAACAGCATCAACAGCATCAACAGCATCAACAGCATCAGCAGCATCAGCAGCATCAGCAGCATCAGCAGCACCAACAGCACCAACAGCACCAACAGCAGCAGCACCAGCAGCTGCACCAGCAGAACAGCCGGCGCCAGGCCTACTCCAACAAGAGGCAGTTCAGCATCGAGACACTGCCCGAGCTATTCTCACAGCCGCTGGGCTACGGTCACTCGCCGCACATGCACCCAAAGCACAAGGGACTTCCAACCAACAGCAAGACAGAAGTCACTGTCTGAACATGGAGATAAAGGTGAAGGAAGCCAAGCGACATCATACTAAATGCTCAGATATCTGATGTATCTACAGCTGTGATGGCAAGAGGGAAGCAGGCAGGCAAATATCGTGCTTACACTGATTTTTTTTTTTATCTGTGCAATTTCCTCATCAATGTTGACAACACTTAAAATGTTGGTTACATTTGTGTACTTTTAAAAAAAACCACTGGATCAAAACAGCAGCAGCAGATAAGCAGTGAAGGTGGTGGATTGGCAGGTGTCGGCTGTGACTCTTTGAACCAGACGTCTCTTCTAAATTATTGAGTGGCCTCTCAGTGTTCTCGCACAGCTCTCTCCTTCTCCCTTGCACCTCAATGACACTCTGCACTGCTCTGTAGTACCACTCCACCATGCACAAATGTTTAAATCCAAACCACAATCACAATTTACCCCCAAACAGTAGCCCGGATGCACTCTGCTTAATTCTTCTGAGACTGTCAGGGAGGCTGGAAGGGGGAGTGTTTCCCCCAAGACTTTGGCTCCCTATCAGCAGAGACAATGCTATTGTGTTGTCAGCTCCCATTGCCCTCCAGCCCCTGCAGAGAGAAAGTTATAAGCCTGGCAATTCATAGCAGATAGAAGGGCGGGTTGGGGGTGGTTATTCATCTCATTCCAGGGGCAAATGAGATGAGAAGGATCTGAACCGTGTATGCACACGCTCTACACACTTGTCAAAAACTACAGAAGGCTCCCCCAGCAGTGTCAGAGACCACAGGCATCCCACTGATACACAAGCAGATGCACACTTGTGTCTTGTCTCACACTGATCCTCAGAAACTGGGGAGGAAGTGAATAAGCAAGCACCCGCATTGGTATTTGTAACAGTTTGTCGGGCTGCCTGTTTCAGTCTCCCTTTGTCTTGTGTTGTTTCGGATGTTAAGAAATTGCAGGACATGTCACAATGCCTGGAGAAAAAAAAGAGCAAACGAGTCCATGTGTACAGAAAGGTCATCCAAAGTCAATGCACCATCACAAGTGATTCCCCAGCATGGCAACTCAGAGCTGTTTGGAGCATTGGAGAGGGCTGAAACCGTTTGTCTCATTGCTTTGTGATGTACTTCAAAACCTGTAAATGTACTACTTTGAAATGCACAAACTTTCGACTGCTCGCACCAAAAGAAAGAAATCTGTGAACTGTTTTCAAACACTGTAAACACATGAAGCTTTTTTTTCATGAAAATTCTCCAATTTCAATAGTTGAATTCAGACCCAAATTATAAATAGTTGACAGTATTTGGACACGACACATATTCATAATTTCCAGAATGTAGTTGTTATGACTCGTTTACATGGATTGTAAGGGAATACAATTAAAATTCAGTAGTTACCCAACAGTTATTTTATTCAAGTTGTACAACTTTGGGCTCATCTGTTCTATTGAAACAGGAGTTTGATCTGGATCCAATTGTTAGCTTAATGCTACAGCTGGAAATGAAACAAACCTCTTTCTCCAAAGTTATCTGATTTATGTGCGGTTTATTCAGCCCTTTTGCTAACGTAAGCTACTTATAAGCCCATTTTGTTTTTGGAGTTAGAGGTTGTATAAACCCAGCATCTTCTTTGAACTACAGCATTATGAAATGGTGGCACATAATGTGATAGCACCAGACTATGTTTGTATGCATTCATTGACGGTAACATTAAGCTAGTTTGGATCTTGGGTAAATATTGTCAAACCAAAACCTGGCTTTTGTAGTATTTAAAGTTCTTTGTTTGTAAAATGGTCCTACTTGGTCAAATACAGAAAATTAGGACATGTGGGTTTGGAGGCTGAGAGGAAGTTGAAGGAAAATTGCTTGTTCTACTTGAGGTACAGTATATTCATTGGTGAATGGCCCAGTTTTGTTTGATTCTACATCTTTGGTCGTTAATCTGATTCAGCTGCTCCTTGTTTTTGATTCTTATTAAAACACGAATCCAAGTAAACATGTTGATCCCTATACAGCGAGCAATAATGGCTGTTCAAGGTTGTTACTTTCTGTACTGTCAGACTCCAAGACAAGTGTTTGGAAGTGCTAATGCAACTCTGCTGTCCCTGAAATTCTATGACTGCTGTTGCTTGTGCAAAATTAGCATGACCCAAAGAGCCAAAATAGCTATTTTAATGGCATACAGGCCAGCTTGCAATTGGTGGAATGTCTTCAAATCCATTGTACTTTACAACATTTTCAAGATGGTTGACACTAGTTATCGGTGGCTTTAGTTAACAAACTCAGTTTTGCTTCCTGAACCTCCAAATCTCTTTTCTCCATGCCACAAATTCCCACTTCCTCATCCCCCCACACTACAACCGGTCTGACTCTGATTGAATTCACCTTCATTTGTTATCAAGCGGACACCAGCTATGCCACACTGCATATGCCTGGCACATGCATCGGACAGGTGGTTGGCACCTCATCAAACATAAGTGTTCACCTCAGTCCAAGGACGTAGTTTTTGTTTCCACATTGGTAGGGACACATGGCCTGGGGAGATGTGGAGAACCTCTCTCATTGATTTTCAACCCTTAGTTCCCTATATCCAGTTGTATTTAAACACATTGATTTGGTAAGACTTGCTCGAATGGTACCTAAAGTTCCCAATCAAACAAGTCTCAAAATGACTGCATCTTTTCGACAGTAGTTTAATGTAACTCATGTACAAATCAAATAAGAGAGAGATCATTTGAACTGATTCCATCACTTTAGCTGTGCTATCCTGTCTTCTGGAGAGTGTTGAATTACCAAACAAATTATTACGATTAAATAAACATAGTTTGTCTACAACTATGCATACATTTAGTTAAGTTTCAAGTAATGATGAACAAACAATTCTTCCAAAACTGCTTTAAAACTCTTTCACAAACCTAGACAAAAAAACTGCATATATTTCAAGATGACCCACTTTGGATATGCGTGCCTTTTTCCAGACCCTCCCAAAGCCTGGAGAACACTTCATAAAATGTCAAGCTGTTTACATACCCATAACAATCTGGATGCTTGTATTTGAACTCTGACCCACTTGTCTTCCTCTCTGTCTCATTTATTGGAAGTATGAGTGGACGTAAAGAGGTTTTACCTTGTACAATATCTGCAGGAAATCATTACATTGTATGTAGCTACACACTACTATGCGAAGGTCTTGCACCTTGTCGGAGCTTTTAAATATACACTAACACGATGACTTGGTATGACTTTGAGTTTCCCAATGTAACCAAAGATGCCAGGATGTCCTGACCTCCTTATAGAACAGGAGGGAGAGAGAGAGCGTTATCATTGGCAGGGTGGTAGCTGTTTCATATCAATGAGTATTTGGCAGACTCAAAGTGAATACTTTGAAATTTGTAATAAAAATCATTGGTTGGGAGATTTCAAAAGTTGCAGGATAATTAAAGAAAGACCTCCTTTTTAAATTCTATGCCCATTCAAAATTCGCACAGTTTTCTGTGCTTTCTCCCTCTCTCTTTCTGTCTCACTTTAGTTTCTCTTTCTCTCTTTTTTTGGCTCCTCAGCAGCCTCCATGCTGTGTGTCATCTACCCCCACACCACCCTCTGTGCCTCCATATCCATGGAGGGTTAAGCGATGAGTTCCGAGCAGTTGTCTGCTGTTTTGTACCCGTTGCTCCAAGTTGTTGTTAAGGATGATATTCTCATTGGATCTCATTTGGGCATGTGTGTGTGGAAGAACTATAATTAATAATTGAATCAAAAAAAGGCCGTCACCGTGTGGCTTGATGTACAAACCCCCACACTCACAAAAATGTGAGAAAAGTCGAGGATAATAACGCTCAAAGAGGACGCGTACAAATTCTAGCATCAACACACACACACTTGGGTGTAAATGAACAGATGCTTCAAGATATACTATTTACATCTTGAGATTAGCGGATGCCAGCATGGCTACCTTAAAAAATGAACCAAGTGGATTTTACATTAAATGCATTTTAATTTTTGAATCCATTGATTTTTCTTCCAAACCGAAAAGTCAGCCAAATTCCCTCATTAGCATCTCAATTTCATGGAGCAGCGATTGTGCGCAAGCAAATAAAGAACGTGCAGCAGGGGTAAACTTTAACAGGGGTGGATAAATTAGCAATATAATGCTTGTTTGTAATGCTCCGTGGGGCCTCTTCACTTTACCTCTCCAAGATGTGGAAAAAAACAAAACCTGCAAGGCAAGCTGCTCGGAGCTGCTGGCACGCTTTTGTAATAAGGGATCAGCTGAGAATGGGGATCATGAATACAAAGGCATCACTGGGATATGCATGGCGTGAATATGCATCAAACACATCTGCGCTTATGCTTTTGCCGCCGCCGCCGCCGCCGCCGCACAGTATGAAACATACTGAGTTGCAGCAGGTTTCTCTCCATCGCTTCCCCTGTCTCTTTGACTTTTACTCCCACGAGGTGCCACACTTTAACTGGGTCACTTCATATGAAAAGTTTTCCGGCCTCCTAAAGCCCTTCCAAATTTTCTCTCTGGGGTCCGTCCTTAATCACTCGGAAAGCATTAGAGGTTGAGGACAAACTAGGGACGACAGCGAGTAAACAAGCAATATATGTAAAGCAATAAGGGCCTGACCGTCCTCACCCTCTTCTTATCTTTTTATTTGTTGACATGCACTCTCCTCTTGAGTTTAGGGGTGGGTGCTAATGGGGGTATTCAGTTTATAACCAGAGGGAGAGCTGAGCAAAAAGAATGGGCTCTGCAGGGGGGCCGGAGAAAAGAGAGATGGGGTTGCATGCACTCAGCTGATAAAGCAATGCTTGTTTTTGTATCTGATTTTGTCTCTAAAAACTTAAAACCCGGGTTTTGTCTCTCTGATGAGCAGCTTAGAAAGCATTGTGTAGCCAAATGTATTCTCAGTTGCACAATTTCAACATTTGTTACTGTTGGGGTTGAGTCATTTCATTCTTCTGCAGCACTGGCTGACTTAACAAACAGCACTAGGACAGCTCTAGGATGTACAATTAAATGAGCCG